GTCGGTCTCCACAATGTTCTTAATGGACTGTAGGCTCCTGATTGTTGTTTATTGTGGTAAGGTAATGTCATGGCTGATGTGGTTTCCTATTGGAATGCTGATGAATGGCCTTTGTCTTCCACAGACTTCCAGCAATCCATCTCCGAGGTCAAGTCGCTCAAGCTGTGGGTTGTCTACATTAGACTCAAACAATATGACAGGCCCTGACAAGTCAAAATCTACAGGTATTGAACATTTGACATGTGCCAGTCGACCCGAATGAATAACAACATCCTGATGTCCAACTTTGACAATAGTCTCAGTATCACAAGACGACTTTTGTGACTGTATAAAGTTTAATATCACTTCAGCCTGATCATCTCCAATTTCCATGGCTCCCATTAGCAGCGTAGTGATTCTTGCAATAACACTTGCACCACTCGTCTGTCTTTTGATCAACTGTTCAATGACGTTAAATCCCAGGAGTGGTTGCTCAAGGGCCATTTTACCCACCAGGAAAGGAACTTGAATGGCTAGTTATGGATCACTGTTGCCAGGGAGATTCACTGTTACAACATAACCATTGATTTTACACTTTAAAAAACATTTGCTTCCAATTAGTTCTGCTAATCTGTTCTGCGTTGAGTTAGTCTTTCTTGACACGGAAAAGCAGGCTGCACTGTTTGCACTGGCTTCTCGCGCTCTGTTCTCTGGGGACCTTCCTCCAGTTGACAATCTCAGCTCAGCAGTGTGGTGAGTATTCCTTGTACCCCTTGTTATTTTACTACATCCAATGGCCCTGTGTCCTTCTTCTCCACAGATAAAGCAATGGTTGCATGAGCTGTTACTCTCCTCAATACAACTTGGACACCCATATGGCCCTCCTCTTCCATATGGCCCTCCTCTTCTCACTGGCATTGGTGTACGTACATGTGAACCAGCTCCCATCTGTGTAGAGCAGCGACATGGCTCTTTAGCTTGTTTTAAAGTGTCAATTGTACTTTTTTAAGCTTCTACTTGAGTGCTTAGTTCTTGTATGGTCTTTGTCTTGCTCTTTTTTTGCGTTTTGGAGTTTGATCCACTCTCGTCGAACCCTGAGTCAATTTGAGCACTATGAGTTTGAGTCTGTCTTCGCTGTATGGCTTGGCCTAATCTTCGTTGGCATTCACTTTCCTCACTTGAGATCTTTGTTACTTGTTTCAGCAGTGCTTCATCAGTTACTGTGTGATCTGTGAGCAAAGATTTCAGTTCACTTCTGATGTCGCTATACTTCGGAAGGAAACCTTGGTGAATGGTACGCAGGAACACATTCTGATCTGTTCGTGGCTCATATTCAATGTTAGTGTTGCTCTGCTTGGAAGTGAAAATTACTTTGTTTCAGTCCGATTACACAATATAGAAACTGTTGTGGAGTTTCACGTTCCCGTTGTCTTGTACTCATTAATTCCTGAAAAAGCTCACTACTGCCTCTCTCACTTAAATGCGACTGTAGGAAACTTTTCAGCTCTGACACAGTCAGATTGTCTTTATTGATGAGCATTTCCTTGAACTGTCCTGGTTTCACTATCCGCAGGACAGCCTGAATGATTTCACTCTCTGAGTAATTCATATTGATGCCTTCATCAATTTGTTTACATAGGTTATTGTAGCCGATGTCTGAAGCAATAACGCCTATCTGACCACCATGTATCTTTAACTCTTTATGCGGTAAGTATGGAAAGTCTCTTGGACACATCATGCTTTCTCTCTGCTGTCGTGGTAAGTATTCAGGGTAAGAAAACTGTCTTGTAGCTGGTATCGTTTTATCATCTGCCTGTGTGATCTTGTACTCTGACAGCTTTTTTCCTAACTCCTCATAACTAGCAATCAGTTTCTGATACTCATTTAATTGTGTGTGTGAGAGTGTGGCAGTAGAATCTGTGTGTCTATGTATAGGGAATGCCCGTGTGTGTATGTGCATCAAATTCATTCTGAATAGAGACAGATGGTTCACTCACAGGATTGTTAACACGACTCTCAATCAATTCATTAATCATGTCTCTTAATGTTAGTAATTGTGCGAATCCTTCATCTTCCAGTTTAAGTAAACTGTCACTCTGCATATCAGAAATGATGAGATACTTTCCTCATCATCCTTGGAGATAGTGGTTGGAATCAAACCTGCAACTGGAGTGATGCTGTCAGTGATATGCCCCAGTTCGTGCACAGTCAACATATGTAGGCTCTTCTTTATGTTCCAGACATAAAGTCTTTTCCTCTCGTTAGCCATCTTGTCCAGCTTCAGACCCTCTCACGACTCTGTAGCGATGCACCGCCTTCCACTCAGCTCGGTCCTTTTTGGCTCTCTGGACATCAGCAGCCATCACAAGTCGCACGCAACCCTCCTTTTCGTAATTTCGTCGCCGTAAAGCCTGGATCCCAGCACTAGCCTTACACTCTGGATGTAGATCTCGGTGGAACCTCCATGAATCTGTTACAGGTCCCGGGCGCGGAACATAGGCAGATTAAAAGTACCTGAATTATCAGGAGAAGCAAAAGCACACGCAAACTTCAGTGTCTTTCTGCAAGTGCAGCTTGGTAGCGTCTGACGTAAACACAACGCACATCACAATGGTAACCCACAGCGCGTGCTTTCTCTGGTGGCTAGAGCTGAACTGATTTCTTTAGTGGTGATAATTGGTAGATGACTGTGTGCGCAATAAACTCTTCTTCATATCATAAATAAATAAATAAATACATATTAATAACAAAACAAACATTGCAATTGTGAATACACAGTGGTGTAACACACTGGCAGTGGGCGAAATCACACAAACCAAAACAGATATTCCGACACGGAATGCACATTTCAAAGTAGAATAACCGGCTTTTTCGGAGAAACAAGTATGTGAATTTAGCATGTTTCCTAAATATCTGCAAATATATTATGGTATTTTATGCTTTAGTACAGTCAAATAAATACATACAGCACCTTTAAACAGGATGAGGCACACATTCAACTGTAAAATGGGGTAAGTTTAAATACTGTGTTGCAAATATATAATGACTATAATGACTGTGCGTAAATCTTCAGGTGTGATGGATCGGTTTACACCTACAGAGTTTTCAAACAAAAGGATGGACTCTGGACAATAGAGGCACAGATGGATTTTTAACCTTGTAGCTTTGCAATTTTCCTCAAGTGAAACCTGAAATTACATGTCTTTTGATAAAAACATACTTCTGTCTTAAAGGGATAGTTCACCCAAAATGTAAATTCCCCCATGATTTACTCATCCTCAAGCCATTCTAGCTGTATGACTTCCCTCTTTCAGAAGAAATACAGTTGGAGTTATATTTTAAAAAAGAGAAGAAAAAATGCATTCCTCACCTCTCACCGGACCTTACGCTATGCCATAGTCTTTGGCTACACCTACGTCATGCGTTGGAACGCCACTCTCTCGTGAATGCGCGTATGACAGTTAACATAAGCTAGAGATTATGGTAAAGTTTTAAAAATTTATATTTTTCTTACACAAATGCATTGCTTCAGGAGGCCTTTGTTAACCCACGGGAGCGGTGTGTTTATGATGGATGGAAACACTTTATTTTGATTTAATATCTGGACCCCCATTCACTGTCATTATAAAGCTTGGAAGAGCCAGGGCATTTTTTAATATAACTCCAACTGTATTCATCTGAAAGAAGAAAGTCATATACACCTAGAATGGCTTGAGCGTGAGTAAATCATGGGGTAATTTTCATTTTTGGGTGAACTATACCTTTAGCATATGTTTTGTGTGATGTCATTTGTAATACAGTACAATATGTTTCTGAGCCTCAACTGGCACAACCTTGTTATACTGTCAATACATTATCCATTATCAGTCGCTGTTCACACCAAATGCAATAAAATCAGAAACATTCTCTGAATGTTTTATTCAGGTTAGTTGTCTGGTTGGGCAAGTAAAATTCCCTTTCACTTGGTCCCTCAAAAAATCCACTTGTCCTGGACAAGCATTAATGTTGAGATCTGTTAACTGTATATAAAATTCAGCCTGCCAAATTGGCTATAGTGGGAGTGACCATGTTACCTGCCACTGCCGAAATCCACCCGCATTTGCCAGGTGTTAATGTCAAGCCCTGATGGTGATGATACGAGCCAATAGAACAAAATGTTTTAAAGCATATATATATATATTTTTTTTTACTTACTAAAAACACATGCATGCCGTTCCGAATTATTTTAAAACTATTTTACATATGCTTACTTCCCCTATATAATCCTATACAAAAAAAATGTACAAATGAGTATAGGCTATTGTCTGAATCGTCAGTATTCATGTCACAGTAAGCAAACAATACCCAAATGACAGACTGCTTCTCTTAAGATTCTAAATTGTGCAATCTAAAGTGTAGACACTCCGCTATTCCATAAGGTCACAGCAGCTAAAGAGCTGTCATCAGGCCGGAATTAAACATATATCACTTCTGCTCTTGTTCATGGGGCACCTGCGTACCAACAGAATTGTCAATGGTTAAAAAGTAAGTTCTTCATTAAATTCAGTATTGTATTCTCTAAAGACACAGCTCATATCTAAAGTAAACCTAAATAGCACATAACACTGTTGTGAGAACCAGTTTTGCCTGTTTGGAAATGTTTATTCATTTCGATAAATGTTTTTACCCAGATCTCACTATTGTGAGATAGATAGAGAGAGAGAGAGAGAGAGAGAGAGAGAGAGAGACTGAAATTCAAAGCATTTAGTGTTTTTGCAAACATTGTGATTTTGGGATATCAAAAATAAATTAAGTGAAAAACAAAATATATATATTTTTATATATTCCTTGCTTTATCTTGTGTATAATGTAGTGGAAATCTTTAGCTTTTTTTTATCATATCCTCCTCACCTCATTTATGGTTTCCACATATGTAAGCACTAGAAAAACTCGTGTTGGCTTGCATAAGAGTTTTTTTTCCCAATGTAGCTATGTCAGCAGTTTGTGTGAGAATAAAATCAGTCTTCTCTCTCATTAGATGTGTTTTCTTCCTGTTTTAGAAAAGAAGCATGGCAGCGAGAAGTAGCAGTAAGTTCTCTTCAAGTAATTCTTAACTACAACTCTCATCATTTTTAGTTGTTAATCAAAACCTAAGGTGGGTTGTGTTTGGGGTGCGGGGGGAGTGCTGTTTCAGCACAACTATAGAATGAGATTGGTTAAAAAATGTTTTATGTTGTATTGCATTGGGTTGTTACTGCAGTTCCGTATCTTTTGGTGTCTGAATCTTCATATATTCCTGTATTTTATATTACTAGGCTTCTAGCCTTTAATGTGTAAGACTTCTTGTGTAAGCTCCTAATATGTTGTCTGACTACATCAATTTGACATTTTGAAATGTTTGGTACTTAAGCGGTGACATTGTTATACTTTCAAGACGGCCACTACCTTTATAGGTGGAGGAACTAGAGTTCAACCACAAAAATCATGATCAAATGTACTTCAAAGACTGAATTGTAGGAATAAACCTTTTAAACAAAATCACAGCACAGGTGATATTTGAATCTTGCCCATCTGTCTTTTCCCTCACAGATGACTTTCAGCTTGTTATTCCTGAAAGAGGTGAAAGAGTTAAGATTAATTCGGGATCTACTCTCACTGTGTCGTGCCACTTGTCTCCTGCACTCACTGCCGTAGACATGGAGATTACTTGGTTTGGCGAGATGTCTTGTATTTGTGCCTATAAGAACCGAGAGATGACACAGAGTGTTGGCTATGAGGGCAGAGCGAGTCTGTTCATTAATGACCTGCCGAGAGGGAATGTGTCTTTAAGAGTGGCAGACTTCAGAGAGTCAGATCTGGGAGTTTACATATGCCGAGTCATCAGTAGAAATGAAACCCAGCAAATAACAGTAAATGTAGCAGAAGAAGGTAAGCAATTCACTCATTCCACTGATGCGCCGGTTGCACCAGCTATATGTACACTCGGTTGTAAGACTAATGTAAATATGCCTTAAGTCCTGCGTAGAATTAATATAAGTAGTGGTATGGTAGTCTGCAGTTCCAAACATACCTATAGTAATTAATAAATTAGTTCAATAAATAACAGTCTGTCCAATTAACAATTTTCTTTGTTGACATATGCAGTCTCTGCCATTTTCAAGGACCAGAGCTTCTTTACAGTGGTAAGACAGCACCTATCATTCTTTTTATGAAGACTGTAACATACAACATATAGCACAGTATAACACAATATACAAGAAAATATAGAGGCCTGTACATTGCATTTTATACAAAATGTAGTTAAATTATAAAGAACGTAAAGCTAGATTCATAGGACGTGAAACTGGTATAGCACTGGTCTTGAAACAGGAAACAAGGCTCAAACAAATTAAAACTACAATTCTTGCCAAAGGAGGCATACACCTGTGTAGAAGGATGTTAACTGGTAACCAAGACTCAATACACTACAATACCCAAGAGACAATACAGTACAGTTGCAAGTAGCCTCAAAAGGATACTAACAATGTTATTTCCAAATAAGAAAAATGTGGAAATATAAAACAAAGGTTTTTGGGAACTGTGTATATGAAAAGCTTACTGAGATGATGTGATTGAATACAGGAACCAAAACTAAACTGGCAAAACCAGTCCAGATAATCAAAAAGTATTTATGTATGTACTGTTGGATTGTGTTCCAGAAGTCAAGAATGAAAAATATTAACAACCTTAATTATTTATTATGACACACACAAAAATAAGGCAAACATATAAAATAATCTAGATATTTGGAAAGCTATCAAAGATAGCTATCAAAGATCTCAATAGCATTTTCTTTTTAAAATAAGGCTAGCAACAGGAACATTATCTGCTAAATACATAAATGTCAATGTTGCAAGAAATTTTGTAAGCTTTGTGTTGTGATTTTTTTCATTGTAAGGAATCAGTGTAAATAAATCCTTGTGTTTTATGTTCAGACGAGCTAAAGTCAATTATTTTTCCCCCAATCAGAATCACAAAATGGGAGAAAGCAACAGTAAGTTGTCTTAAAACTCTTTGTCATCCTTATAAAACATACACTACTGTTCAGAAGTTTGGTGTTAGTGAGATTTTTACTTTTATTCAGCAGTGATGCATTAAATTGATCAAAAGTGACAGTAAAGATATTTTATAATATTACAAAAGATTTGTATTTCAAATAAATGTTGTTCTTTTGAACTTCCTTTTCATCCAAGAATAGAAAAAAAATTATCTCGTATTCAACAAAAATATTATGTAGCACAATAGTAAATAATATATATATATATATATTTTTTTTTTTACATCGATAAAAAGAAATGTTTCTTGAGCACCAAATCAGTGCATAAGAATGATTTCTGAAGAGTCATGTGACACTGAAGACTGGAGTAATGGCTGCTGAAAGTTCAGCTATGCATCACAGGAATTAACTATATTTTAAAATAGAACAAAAAATAGATTAAAATACAAATTTAAAATAGAAAATGAATTTCAAATTGTTTCACAATATTACTGGTTTTACTGTATTTTTGATCAAATAAGACTTCTTTCAAAACCATTATGTGAGTTCATAAATGTGTGTGTGTGTGTGTCTGTGAGTGAGTGAGTGTGTGCGTGTGTGTGTGTGTGTGTGAGAGAGAGAGAGAGAGAGAGAGAGAATGTCTGAATCAGATCATATTTGAGAAGAGGATATAATTTTTTTCTGCTTTGTAGAGTTGTCAGAGCATCACTGTGATTCAGACAATCAGCTTGAGGTTTGTGTACACATTAATATTATTCACTAACACACACGCACACACACTGTTGTTTTAAATAGTTCTATTTTACAGTATAAGTACAGTAAAGGTCATCATCACTAGATTGACACTTGTAATGTCAATCAGTTTGCATCAACTTGAGACATATTGTTCTATTTTCTTGAATTTTAGATTACATTGCCAAACAAATATAACGAAACACAATTTTACAGTATTGCAAAATATTCCCAGCTTTTTCCTCAAAATGGTCTTTCACAACAATAACTAATAATTTAGTTATCTTTGACCACTTTAGAATCACAATAAAGTGTGAACCCCTGTTGTGCGACGATGTTATGTCAACATTGTTTTACTTTTTTTCATCTCATTTAGAATTACAAGATTGAAGAGGCAATATATCGTAAGTTGTTTTAGAATTAAGTAACTATTGAGTATATTAAGTTACTGTATTGAGATATTTTACTTAACACTAAAACTTTTCATTCATTCATTCATTTTATTACCTTTTTTTTCTGGAGCCCATTGCTCTTGATGAAACTATTATTTGACATTTTGATAAACACCTGTCATAATCTATGTGATGTGTGGATCTTATTTGTAAAGGTAAATTTATTTTCTGCATTAAAGAATTATCAATCCACTCTGCATATCACAGTGCTTCAGGGAAGGATCAGCGTAAGGTATGTGTGAATGTCAAATCAAGTCACCTGTATTCATATAGCGCTTTATACAACAGAGATTGTTTTAAAGCAGCCTCACAGTATAAAACAGAATCAATGATGCCAACTTTGAGACAAATATGAAACAAATTTCAATTCTGCTGTAAAGCAGCTCTAATAAGACAATAGTCTCCTGTCAAACTCATCACTGTGTTGATTAAGGTTAGATCAATAACTGTGCAAAGTTCAAATATAAAAAAGTTAAATGAATGAAGATGTCGTTATTCAGCTCAATTCAGTTCAATGTTGATTCAGTTCAGTTCAATAACTGCAAAATTTGACAATTATAAACATTCGATTCAGCTATAAAGCAGCTCACAGAAGTGTGTCAGTAGTGTCATAGAAGGCACTTAACTTGACTTTAAATTATAGATATGTGCTAGTGTGTTATGCGTATTATAGGTTAAAAAGATGGGTCTTAAATCTAGTTCCCCTTCAGGAACTCGAGCTGCGTCGAGTCGCTTTGGGAACGCCCTTGCGTGACCGCGTTCTGAAGCATGTGTCAAATCAGTCCAATGGAGCAGCGAGACGGCACGAGCGGGGTGACGTAAGCACCAGAAAGTATAAAAGCGCATCCAGCACAGCGCAAACCAGCTTCTGCTCTTCAGTAGCGCTCTGTGTATGTGTCTGTCTATTTACTGTTGTCTGTCCAAACAAACATATATAAAAAACAATCATGAAAAAGTCTATGGCGAGCGAACGGCATTACAAACGCTGTGTTCCTCCCTGCCCACGATATCTGGCGGCGGGGGATACACACGGTTTGTGTGTCGTTTGTTTAGGAGTGGAGCATGCACGGTCAGCTTTCGAGGAGCTGATTGTCATCACTGCGAGTTACTCTCGCTGCGTATACTCCGCTCTCGCCTGGCTGTGTTTGATGAGAGCGGCCAGGCTCGCAATCCCGCTGGCAGCAGTCCCGCTATTGCCGAGGCACAGCGCAGACTGTTGTCGTGGGGATCACGGGTGGATTTAGCGGAGGGATCCGAGACGGGCTCGTCCTTTTCTCGGTCCTCACCCGCTAGATC